GGCCTCACTGTCAGTGTGGGGGGAGGCGGGGGAGAAGGCTCACCTGTTGCTGCTTCCTCCTCCACATGGAGATTCTTCTCCCCCCCCATGAGTATCGCGGGCCCCCACTTGTGTGTCCTAATTGCAAACATTTAGGGAACAGGAAGCATTGCAAGTCACGTTCACATCAAATGTTTTGTACTTAGTGCATCAGTTGGCCTCATCAAGGGCCAGAACACTCATGCTGGTGAGCAGAGGGATTGCTCAGCCACTGGCCACATGAACTGATAAAGGGTTGAAAGAAACTGTAACAGATGTGCTGTGGCCTGAGACAGGGAGCTGGCTATTTAAGCCTGGGCTCCACTCCCCAGGGAGTCCTCCTTGGCCTTTCCACAATGCAGTGCTCTCCTCCCAAGGCCTTGCCACCTATGCTGCCTCTCAGGCCTCAGCTCACAGGGCCTGTGCCAGGCTGTTCCTGGCTTGCCTTCTCTTGGTGAGCTCTGTCACCCTTCCTCACTACTGCACCTTAAGAACATAATGTCACGGCAGGACCAGGGGGCGTGATGTAAGTAAGCCAAAGTCCAGGAACAGTCCGAGGTCAAGCCGAGCAAATCAGGTAGCAAGGTTCAAACAGGTTTAAATCACAGTCCAGAAGCAGGGTCAGACATACCAAGGTTTCAAGTCCATAAATCACAATACCAGAGGAGTCAGAGATGAACGAAGGTCAACGAAGCCGAGGGTCAAAAGCCGAGGATCAAGCCGATAAGAATTCCACAAGGTCTGGAGCAGAGATGCAAGGATTCAGGTCCTGACAAACAACATTTGCCAGCACAAATGACTGCTGGCAACAGACTTGCAGATATACAGTGCTAGCTAATCAACTCATTAGCTAGCCGGGAGCAAGGTCAGGATCGTGTCAATAGTCAGGGCTGAGAGATCTTCTGGCACGCATGCGTGCATTCTGCCTTCGCTCTCTCAGCTGCTGTCTCCTTACATTCCGGAGCCTGGTTACAGGTGGGGGCGAGTCTGATGAACTACTGGGCTGCAGCAGAGACTGATCCCTTGCAGGTGTTCCCTGGGAGGCTCTATCCTCCTCACCACTTAGATAGCTTTCAGGATCCAGTCTTTGCCTTTCTGCTGCAGTACTGTCCTCAGGAGCCTGTAAGTCCACAGGCTCCTGGCTGGCAGGTGCCTCCTCAGGGACATCAGCAAGGGCAGGCATGGCATCAGCAGGGGCAGGCATGACAACCTTGCATTGAGTGCCCACCACCAGTTCTTGTATTGTGAGAAAGGGAGAAAAGTACTTATTTCTCTGTCTTCTCTATCCCATGCATTATTTTGTAAGCCTCTGTCATGTCACCCCTCAGTCATCATTTCTCCAAGCTAAAGCTCACAGGGAAAGTTCATTTGTTCTTTATTACAGTCGCTTGACCAGTCATGTAAAACATGTACACGTAAAAAGTCAGGGATACAGTAGACCAAATAAAACAATTTAAAATTAAACTCTAGTTAACAGTACGGTTTCCGAGACCTAAATATTACTAGACAGAATCTAGCTACTTGATGAGTAATCTTGGCATTCTTATCCGAAGATAATCAAGTCTAAATTTTTCAGTGAGACCAGAGAATCTGCCTAACAATGGAGTAATAATCTCATCAGTGCTTCCTTATAATAATAATATGGGCAGCTAAAAAACATGTGCTCTGTGGTTTCAACCTCTCTTAGCGGGCAGGAGCAGAGCCTTTCCAGATGGGCTTTTTGTTATATCTACCTTCCAGGACACCTTGCCAAACAACAGCACATTTATAACACATATTAACATTGTGCAATAATAAACTTTTCTCAACCCTTAAGTACCCTTCAAAAATATAACAAATCTTTGTAATAAGTGTTGTTTGGAATCACCACTTCTTCTGCGAGATAATTCACTGCTGGGAACCAGGTTGCTTGAAAAGATTTTTGATGAGAGACTATTTTGCCATATACAAAGTGTTCCCAGATTTTATTTTGCCAACATTGGAGAGTAGGTTGATTTTTGTTTTTTCCAGTATTGGGCTAGAGTTATTCGTGCAAACACCCTTCTAAATCCATTTATTTCTAAAGATATTAGTTAAGGTCCTGGCTTCACAACATTTTGAAAGTTTGACCACACATGCACATTTTGTGTGTTAGCAATATCAGTTTGACATTCTGTGTCCTCAGTCCTCTGTGCCTGATCATAGCCACAGGAGAGGAGAGCATGAGGAGAGAAGCCGGTCCTGACAATATGGCTCTGAACAGACTTAAGCCAGTTAGATCAAAAGTTGTCTCTCTGTATAAGTGGGAATAAACCTTGGGGATTAAAGTGTCTCTTTTGTCACATATAGGAGCTGCGGTGGCTCAAGTGGTTAAGACGCTGAACTGCAGGCTGTGGAAGGTTGGTCGTTCAGCAGTTCGAGACCCAAGTGTGCCGCATGATGGAGTGAGCTCCCGTCACTAGTTCCAGCTCCTGCCAACCTAGCAGTTCGAAAGCAAGAAATTGCAAGTAGATAAATAGGTACCACTTCGGTGGGAAGGTAACAGCGTTCCGTGCGCCTTGGTGTTTAGTCATGCTGGCCACATGACCACGGAGAAGTCTTCGGACAGCGCTGGCTCTTTGGCTTGGAAACGGAGATGAGCACTGCAATCCTAGAGTCACTCGACTGGCTTTCGAGCAAGGGAAACCTTTACTTTACTTTAGTCACATATAGTAGACATATCCGTGTTTTAACTCTAATGCTGCCTGTCTCCAGTCTCGACCTAGCATTGGGCACCCACCTGGGGACCTGTCGTAGGGAAGGTGTTAAATCCCCTTCATCATTTTAGTTGCCCTTTTCTGCACCTTTCCCGCTTGTCCTTCCTGAGGCTTTTCCTGCAGCTGCCACCTCCAGTCCCACAGCCTGCAACGAGGGCTGATTTGCTGTTCCCAGCTTTTTTGCTGCTCCTCCAGCCACGTGCAGCCTTCTGGGAACCTGCGGTTGTCGTCTCTGCCCCCCCCCCATTGGCTCATTGTCTTGTTTTAAATGTGTGGCTCACCGACGTTGCACCCCCCCTCCCTCGACAGCATCCCCTCACCCTCAATAGCCAGGCCGCAATGTCTTCCAGTCGGCTTGTCTAGAGTCTCCTGACACAGCTTGGACCTTGCAGGCTCTTAACATACACTGTCTGCTGTGGAAGACCAAACTTAGAGTCCGGTGGCACCTTTAAGACCAACAAAGGTTTATTCAAGGTATGAGCTTTCGTTAGAATGGAAGGTAGAGTTCAAACTTATAGACAGGCTGAACAGCAAAATAACATGTATCATGATGAAGATGTTTTAAGATATGCAAAGACAGAACTAAATAAGTTAAGATTATAAGGTCAACAGTTGTTTTGATTTAATTAATGGAGGAAAGGACTGTAAAGCAATAAATATGTCAAAATAGGGGATAAATGTGTAAAGGTATCTTTTCTAATTGTGGGAAGTGAATTGAGCCTCTTCATTCATCTCCTTTCTGGCATGGAGATAACAGCATTTTTTCCCTTACTTTTTGGAGGTGGGTCCACTGTGGAGTAGGAGCTGCGGTGGCTCAAGTGGTTAAGGTGCTGAACTGCAGGCTGTGGAAGGTCAGTAGTTCAGCAGTTCGAGACCCGGGTGCCGCATGACGGAGTGAGCTCCCGTCTCTAGTTCCAGCTCCTGCCAACCTAGCAGTTCGAAAGCAAGAAATTGCAAGTAGATAAATAGGTACCACTTTGGTGGGAAGGTAACAGCGTTCCGTGCGCCTTGGTGTTTAGTCATGCCGGCCACATGACCACGGAAATGTCTTCGGACAGCGCTGGCTCTTCAGCTTGGAAACGGAGATGAGCACCGCAACCCTAGAGTCGGACTCAACTGGCTTTCGAGCAAGGGAACCTTTACCTTTAGCTTTTTACCACTGTGGAGTATGTATTGTTTAAGCATGACATTATTTGGCTTCCTTTGCACTCTGCAAACATTGCACTGTTTTCCATTTTCTTTCCATTTTTATTACAGGCAAGGCAATTAAGCATGCTCAGCAGGCCTTATTCACCACTGAGTCAGGGACCAGAAAGGGAACCCCGAAGGTTCTGGTGGTGATCACAGATGGGCGATCACAGGACGATGTGAACAAAGTCTCCAGGGAGATGCAGCTAGATGGTAATGTTGGGTACCCAAACCGTCAGTTAAAGGTTGATTCATATATGCACACTCTGAGAGTCTTGATAGCCGTGGTCAGAAGGACTTATTGAACCTGCGTTTCCTGGATGCATGTGGTTAAAAGTTTAAGAAAACTTTTCATACAACCGAAGTCTGTTGCCACACAGAAAGTTTGGCTGCTGCCGTTTCAGGCAGACAAAAATGATTCCATTCCTTTTTCTGGACGCTGGACATTCACAACTGGCTTACTTCTCAAACAAGAGTAATTGAACCATTGGTTCAGCAAATGGGGTGTACTGTTACTTTCAGAGGGCATTCCATAGAGGGCAGACTGTTTTGGCAGATTGGGCTGTGTTTTTATCCTGAGTGTTGTTTTTGTCTTCTTGATGGACTGAATTGTTTCATGTGTTCATAACTTGATGTGACTTTATTAGCTACCGTATCGCCTTAGAACTAAGATGGGGTATAAATATTTTAAATGCGTAAATAGTGGTCTCCTAGAAGAATCCTTGAGGAAAACTGTAGAGACTTTTGCCTTTGTAATTCTGCTTATGGTGTAATAGGAAGACAAATCCCAAGTCTTTCTACCAGGTTTGGTTTTGTTTTTTTTTTTTTTAAGAGCTGAAATAGGCACATGGAATCAAGGTTATGTTAAGTGATTGATTTTGGGTGTGAATGAGAGATTCCTACAGGATCCGTCTAACAAGATGAACCCCCCGCAGACAGAAGTGTACATTTCCCCCCTCCGCTCTGTTTCCTGTTTTGATCAGAAAACAGGAATCCACGTTGAATGTATAATGTGGGTTGGGTAGCTATGGTGTTACGTAGAGGCGCTGGAGAGAAAACTAAATGCCAAATTAAATGTGACAGCAAGCAGACTCGTGTGTCAAGACTGGGTTGCGGCTGAATTCCTGAAAAACAGTTTGGGGAGTTTTAGAATGTAACAAGAGTAGGTACGAGGGGGATCTGAATTGTTAAAGATGATCCAAACAAAGTAACGAAAGCAATCCCAAATGCTTTCATTTACTTAAAATTATTTGGCAGAGAATTCGACACTTTAATGATGCTCTGGGCCTGGTTGGGGCGATGGCACGCGTGCCCACAGAGAGGGCTCTGAGTGCCACCTCTGGCACCCGTGCCATAGGTTCACCACCACTGTACTAGGTAAAGGCAGTTTTTAAAATAAGCAGTTCTGCAAGAAAACGCTCAGAAAGGAGGAGAGCACAGCTCCATCATCCCATCTAACCATACTGTACTTTAAACCTCCCTTTTCTTCCTTGCACAGGGTGGGGATTTGGTACTACCTGAACTGGATCATGGTTGTATCTAGTTTGGTTTTTAAACAAGACCTAGGTGTGCCCCTTGGCCAGACGATTACCAAGGCCTGAAATACAGCTGCAGTAAAGTGTGTGTTCATGGACCTCCTTTATCGAGCAAGACTGATTCATGGTTGTTTCTGAGATGTATGCTCTCGTAATTCTGGTGTGTCTCATGATGTACCAACTGCCACCTGTGGAACTGGCAGGGTGGCAGAATGGCACGGCAGGAGCTGAGGGAGTTTTTGAGAGGAGTCGTCTCAATCCAACAATATCAGCAAAGACAGTATATCCTTAGAAGCAGGGAACAGGGGAAGCCCAAACTCTTCCCCCTCGTCGTCCGTGGAGGTCTCCACCAATGTGCCCTCTAAGCTGTGGAGTCTTGTGAGCAAAAATTCTACCTTGTGAGCTGCTGTCATTAAAGTTGTGAGTGAGCTATTTGGCTGCTGCATAAAATAGTTTGCTCTGGAGCCATCCTTCCTGAGCAAAGACAAAAATGTGTGAGCCAGAGGCTAAAAAATTGAGCTAGCTCACACTAACTCATCTTAGAGGGAACACTGGTCTCCACAGGACAGCATCACTAGTGGCTACTTCATTTGGTTCAGGAAGTGGGTTTCTTCCATTCCCTCAGTGGACCAGGAGTAGTGGCCAGTATAGTGTAGTGGTTAGAGCTGGGAGACCCAGATTCAAATCCCCACTCAGCCATGAAACCAATTGGGTGACACTCAGCTAGTCACAAGCTCTCAGCCTAACTTATCTCACCAGTTTGTTATGAGGATAAAAGTCATATGGAAAAGCAGGATAGACATGTAGTAGTAGATAGACAGAACTTCTCCTCTTATGCAGAAGTGTCCAGCTCTGGATAGAGTTGTAACACCCTGAACTATTAAAATGCTTTTAAAACATCCCCCCCAATTTTCCAAGAAGTGATTTATGAGTTCAGCAAACCAATGTTGCTTTGCTGGCTCACATCCCAAGTCTGTAACACTATGCTGGCACTTTGATTAAGACGCTCCGCTAGAATGCTGGCCCAGCAAGTGTTAGAATTAGGTCATGAGTTATTTAAAAGAAATCAGGAAAATTAATATGTGTGCTTCTTTGTCTGTTGGATGCAGTACATAGCCTGTGTTCCTGTAATAAACTTGTCCGGCCAAAAGAAGAGCATTCCAAAATAAGTCATTTTCAGAAAGTGTTGAAAGACTATGCTGATGTTACAGAACAAAGTTTGAGTCCAGTGGCATCTTTTAAGACAAACAAAGTTTAATTCTGGGTTTAAGCTTCCGTGTGCATGCACACTTCTTCAGATACATGTACACAAAAGCTTATACCCAGAATTTAAACTCTGTTGATCTTAAAGGTGCCACTGGACTCAAACTTTGTTCTGTTGTTTCAAATTAACACACTACCCACCTCAATCTATGCTGATGTTAATCAGAGTGTTGGTGTGTGGGGGTGCCAGGTGAAACAGGGACTTCTCCCATGTATTGAAAAAGGCTAATTTCTTTTCCCGTGCTAGATTTAGCTAGATTAACTCTTACAGATGCATCTTTATTTTATTTATGCATTTGCTTTGCCAATTAACTTATCACAGGAGTTTCCCCTTTCCTTTTCTCTTGCCATAGGGTTCAGTATATTTGCCATTGGAGTGGCAGATGCTGACTATTCAGAACTGGTGAACATCGGCAGCAAACCTAGTGACAGGCACGTCTTCTTTGTGGATGACTTCGATGCCTTCAAGAAGATTGAAGATGAGCTGATCACTTTCGTTTGTGAAACGGCATCTGCAAGTTCGTGATTCTTTGCTGTTAGCTTCTTTCCATACTTTCTTTTATGTCTAGGCTGGCCTGATCTCATCAGATTTCGTAAGCTAAGCAGAGTCGGCCCTGGCGAGTATTTGGATGGGAGACCTCCAAGGAATACCAGGGTCATGACACAGAGGCAGGCAATGGCAAACCACCTCTGAACGTCTCTTTGCCTTGGAAACCCTACCGGGTCTCCATAAATCCACTGTGATTTGACGGCACTTCCCACCACCGCCACCACTTTCTTTTATATTCTCAGTCCATTCCTATATTATTAAGTAATTAATTAATTAATTAATACCCAACCCTACCCCACAAGTGGGCTCAGGGTGGCTTACAGCATAAAACCTTCATACAATAAAACAATAAATGGCAGCAACAGATGATAACAAAAACCTATAAATCAGATGTCTTCCTCTCTTTTATGGCTTATACTTTTGTTTAGATGTTTCTTTTTGACCAGAATTATGTGTCCCACTGTGTTCAATGGGCTTACTCCCTAGTATATATCTTGGATTGCAGGCTTCATGTATTTCACAGGACTTGTCATGTCTATTTTCTGTGTGGGTCTACGATAATATATGTTCATAGTCATGTAGGAGAAAATGTTTCCTGTTGTGTTTCAGACTAGTCCTTTCTACTGTGTGCCATCTTATAGGGATAAACAATACTTCATTGTGTCTGAGTGATACTAGTGAGTTTAGGCAGAGGAAGGACAGACCGAGGTCAAGCACTCTGGTCCCGACTCCCCAGCCTCTTTTCTGCAAGCTGCACTGAGACACATAATGCCTTCCCTTTGTGATCATCTGCATGTATCAAGCAATTGTTACTAAACGTGAATGAAACGATGAGGAATTTCAGACAGACGATATAATCCGGAAGAGGAATGGTTCCCAAACAGTTTCTGGTCTGTCATTTCAGACAGAACCGTTTTAGAACCAGTTCCCTACCAGAATATATTTGTAATTTCAGACATAAACGCTTCTGTCCCGTTTAGGAAACGGGGCTGAAGCGTTTTACCTGTCAACTGCTTCCAAGTAGTCTTCAGTTTCCTCTCCTGGTTCCGATCCACTTTTTCCCGCCATTTTTCGCCCGCGCAGGTGATCTCTGGCTTAAAAAAAAATTTTTTTTTGCTTTATAGCGCTATAACGGAACAGCACTATATAAACCCCATTGGAATGCCTGGAGTGTTTTGTTATAGTGCTATAGCGCTATAGCACTATAAAGTGAATGTCCCCCCCCAAAAAAAAGCCGTAGATTGCCCGCGCGGGCGAAAAACGGCGGGGGGAAAAGCGGTGCAGTCTGAAATGGCAAACCGTTTCATATCCAGCTCTTTACCGGAAGGGGAAAGCCATGTGTGAAATGGCAGCCCTGTACCGGTTTACTCCATGACGGATCAAAAACGGCTTCAAAAGAGGTTTAAAAGGGTAATGTGAAATTCCTCTTTGTCTCTGCCATAGAGAATGACTACAGGACTGGCTATTTTCAAGGGACACCTTTCTGGATTTTGTCCCTAAGAGCTAGTTCCCATGCTACAAAGTCCTCATGTCCACCACGTATCTGGTTGACAGATGTGGTTGTGGAGTTCCATGCTTGGAATTTAGTTCCCTCGTGCACGGGGGCCTGATTGAGGTCAGGTCTATGGTGTATGGTGAGAGTGGGCTTAATCCTTACCTTCTGTGCCATTTCTTGATCTGAAATGGCCTTGGGGAGCCACTGTTTACCTTTCTTGGAGGAACTTCAGAACATGTGAGTTTGCCCAATAGGGAAAATAGTGACTCCTCAGGGACATTTCAGGTCAGGAAAATAGCATGGAAGGGAAGGCTTAATCTCCTTCCCCATGTGCAAGGGTCCCAATTTGAGTTTGGCCTGGGAATTAAGGTCTGAGCATGGAACATGTCTGATTGGATATATGGTTGGAATGTGAGGGAAACAAGGACTTTGTGAAATGTGAACCGACCCAAACTGTTCTTATAGAGGTGTTCAAAAAAAAAGTAAGCATACATTTCTGGTGTTCCCCCAAATACGGGGGAACCTTCCGAGCAGGTGGAGGAGGTCAAATGGAAGAAGTGACAATCATGAAATTAATTGCCCAGAGAGTATTCTAATGGTTACTGTGTCAGTTCTAAATATTGCTGTGCTGAGAAGTTGGCAGTATTGTTCCAGTATTATATCATCACTTACTTGGTGATGGGTTTTGAACGGATGTTTATGATACTAACAGTGCAATCCTGAACAGAGTTACAGAAGAGAAGAAGAAGATATTGGATTTATACCCTGCCCTTCACTCAAAGTCTCAGAGCAATTTACAAACTTCTTTCCCTTCCCCTCCCCACAACAGACACCCTGTGAGGTGGGTGGGGCTGAGAGAGCTCTGACACAAACGGCTCTTTTTCAATAACACTTCTGACAGAACTATGGCTTGCCCAAGGTCATCCAGCAGTTGCAAGTGGAAGAGTGGGGAATCAAACCCGGTTCTCCCAGATTAGAGTCCGCGCACTTAACCACTACACCAAACTGGCTCTCTTCTAAGCCCATCGACCTTATACTCTTCTAAACCCATTGACTTTAAGACTGCAGTGGCTTAACCAAGGCTGTGGTATCTTTTGATTTTCGGTTTCCATCCGTAGGTGAAAATATAGAGTAGTTGTGAATATTCAATCTAATTCAGCTAAAACACACATTCTTTCTTCCCTCTCTCCTTGCAGCTTGCCCACTGGTTTATAAAGATGGCAACAGTCTTGCTGGTAAGCTGTTACTAAAAGATAATGTATCCGATTTACTGAGATGTCATTAATATTTCTGCGTGTAATATGAGAGGTTTAGTGCACCATTGTTAAAGGGAGCCACCCAATCTATTTAGCATACCGTATTGTTTATTATTTCCTTACTTTCATTTACTTTGTTTCTACCCCGCCTTTCGCCCCAAAGGGGACCCAAGGGGGCTTACAACATTCTCCTCCCCCACCATTTTATCCTTACAGCAACCCAGAGTGTATGACTGGCCCAAGGTCACCCAGAAGCTTCCACGGCATTGTCAGGATTTGAACCCGGGTCCGCCAGATTCTAGTCTTGCACTCTTAACCACTACACCACGCTGGCTCAGTATTTTGCTTTTTAAAAAATTTCCTGGTGTACTGGGAAGTATATTGATTGATTATATTTACAACCTGCCTTTTCCCCACAGGGCAAAGCAGCTAACAAATACTACTTTCCGACAAGAGGCCAGAGCCAAGTGGTCTCTCTTTCCCCCTCCCACAGAAGGGCTGGCCTTAATCTTCTGAGAGATGAGCAATGTTCCCTCTAAGCTGTGGAGTCTTGTGAACAAAAATTCTACTTTGTGAGCTACTGGCATGAAAGTTGTGAGCAAGCCATTTGGCTACTGCATACATTAGTCTGCTCTGGAGCCATCCTTCCAGAGCTAAGACAAAAATGTCTGAGCTGAAGGCTAAAAAACTGTGAGCTAGCTCACAGTAACTCAGCTTAGAGGGAACACTGGAGATGAGTGGTCAGGAGATAGTTGGCAAGGCACGCGAATAAAAGGAAGGAGCCTCGTTCTCTCCTTCTGCAGAACACTTGGAATCCTGCTTAACGGGGAGGAGCAGAAACAATAATTTGTGCTTCAGATGTAGCATCAAACTGTGCTTTGCCATGAATCCAAATTTTTTTCGTTGTGTTGCTGAGTAGGTGGGGGAAGGAAAGAACAGAACGAGCGTGCAAAGGCATGGATTTCCTGGTCTTGTTCCCAGTAGTGATGCCAATGAGTCAAAGTGACAACAGGAAACAGTCTTCAAGTCGAGCCCTTTCTCCCCTGCACCATAGTGGCATTTTCCACATGTCTCACCACAGAGCACAGCACCACAGTCCTGTTGCAGAGCTCCCCCTCAATTTCGAAAAGAAAAAGAAAAGAACAAAGAGAAAAAAACTTAGAATCTAACAACTAAGTAAGATTTAAGACCTCCCCTTCAATTTAATTATGTTTGGCGTGTGGAAGGTCCAAGTGTAACCAGGCTGGATAACCATACAATGATATACATGTGCACTGTGTGACTTACTTGTACCTCCTTGCCTGGCCTCTTTCCTTTCAAGCCCAGTTGAAACACGGAAATTGTGCAGAACATAGTTCCCTTTTTTCATGGCCCCATTACAATTAATTTTGTGATAGGTAGATTCCCAAGGCACTGTTGCAGTAATATTAATTCCCAAAGGGTTTCAGGGGATTGTTGACATAACATTAATTCCAAAGGGAAACATTTTCCTCCTCCTCCTTATTATTATTGTTGTTGTTCTTCTTCTTCTTCTTCTTCTTGATGAATTGCTACAGTCACATATTTGACTGATAGATGATGTTCTGCAGTTCAAGATCTAGCCAAGTTCTTGGAAACTGCAGATGTATCTATGTAGGATTCTTGCTGTTCCAAGCAACATTGTCTTCTGGAGCTGAGCTGGTGCTATTTGCTCAATGCTCAGAATGCCCTGGTGTTTCTTGAGACTTCTAGGCACTGCTCCAAGGCCTCCAGTGACAGCTGGCACAATGGTAACCTTCTCTCAAAGGCGCTCTAACTCTGTTTGTAGGTCGTAGTACTTTGGGTTCTTCTCCTGTTCTTTTTTGTTCTGCCGTCTCCTGGGATTGCAGTGTCAGTGATGCAAACCTTATTTCTCATTTTTTCTTACAATTGTGATATCAGGGATGTTGTTGTTATTGCTGTTGCTATTATTGTTATTTCTTAATGTCCTGGCCACATTAACAGATAAAAATGATGCATGCTATTCCTTTTTTGTGGTTTCCAGGATTTAAAATGATGGAGATGTTTGGTTTGGTTGAAAAGGAGTTTGCAACTGTGGAAGGGGTTTCCATGGAGCCTGGAACATTTAATGCATACTCCTGTTACAGACTACATAAAGACGCCTTGGTCTCCCAGCCAACCAAGTATGTACTGCCAATACACATGTTACGGTGCTGGTAATCCACCATAAAAGAAAACTCATGGAATCCTAAACCTTACACATTCTGTGTCTTTGTATAAAAAATGGATTTTGTTTATCTCATTCTGGACTTGAGAATGGCACCAGGGTAAGGCGATTGCTTCAAGCGGTAAATTTTAGAGTACCATTAGGTAAAGGTAAAGGCTTCCCTTGCTCGAAAGCCAGTCGAATCCGACTCTAGGGTTGCAGTGCTCATCTCCGTTTCCAAGCCGAAGAGCCAGCGCTGTCCGAAGACGTTTCCATGGTCATGTGGCCAGCATGACTAAACGCCAGGGTGCACGGAACGCTGTTACCTTCCCACTAAAGCAGTACCCATTCATCTACTTGCAATTTCTTCCTTTCAAACTGCTAGGTTGGCAGGAACTGGAACCAGAGACGGGAGCTCACTCCGTCATGCGGCACACTCGGGTCTTGAACTGCTGAACTACCGACCTTCCAGCCTGCATTCAGCGTCTTAACAGGACACCAAAGTGCCAGTGAATTGCTTTGTTACTATTTTTTTTTCCAGAAGGAAGAAGGATGGCATGGGGCTTTGCCTCAGCCACCAAAATGCCATGGACTGTCTCAATAACTAAAAGTATAAAAATGTGTAACTTCTTTTTGTGTGTGATGGAAAGGCTTTCACAGAAGCAAAACAGTGGCGTTTTAAGGACGTGTGAGGCAGCTTAACCAAGCAGTCTTCTGTGCAAGGAGGGGAGCCTTGGTAGTTAATTTAGTTAGAGGTAGGGAATTTAGTACAAATAATTAATAAAAGAAGGCGAGTGGCCCCTGGGAAATCCCACACTGAGATTTCGTGCTAAGCTATATACATCTTGGAAGAATTCCAGGCAGTTATCTGACGGGTGGGACAGGAAGACTGTTTGCAACTGGCTTGGTTTCTGGTATGAAATTCACACAGTACGTTTGTTTTTGTTTCCAAAGTATCTGTAACTACTATTGTTAAACTGTGGGACTATTGGAGGGGGGGGGAAAGATGTTGTTTCCCCTGTGAGGAAAGATATCAGAAACTGCTTTTATAAAGTTTTTAATCTAGGCTGCGGGGTGAAAGCAGTAGACTGCTAAGGTGTCAGTCCCGGAATGGCCATGAGCAGCCCTACCCCAAACCAGAGACGGGGTCTGGATTCCGTAGCTTGGTCCCAGCCCGAGGAGGAGGAGATTGGATTTATACCCCGCTCTTTGCTACCTGAAGGTGTCTCGGTGCGGCTTATAGTCTCCTTACCCTTCCCCTCCCCACAACACACACCCTGTGAGGTAGGTGGGGCTGAGAGAGCTCTTTCGAAGACTGCTCTTGAGAGAACAGCTCTGAAATAACTTGTAACCGACCCATATGGATATAAGCATATGGAGCAGCGTCCATCGGTGGCTATTAGCCACAAGGTATAGATAGGGACTCCGGGGCAAGTGATGCTCTGCATTCTTGGTGCTTGGGGGGGTCAATAGTGGGAGGGCTCCTAGTGTCCTGGCCCCATTGCTGGACCTCCTGATGGTACCTGGTATTTTTGGCCACTGTGTGACAGAGTGTTGGACTGGATGGGCCATTGGCCTGATTCAGCATTGGCTTCTCTTATGTTCTTAAGGTCACAATGGCAACTGCCAGTGTTCCCTCTAAGCTGAGTTAGTGTGAGCTAGCTCACAGTGTTTTAGCCTCCGGCTCACACATTTTTGTCTTAGCTCAGGAAGGATGGCTCCAGAGCAAAGAAATTTATGCAGTAGCCAAATCGCTCATTCACAACTTTAATGCCAGTAGCTCACAAAGTAGAATTTTTGCACACAAGACTCCACAGCATAGAGGGAACAGAGTGGGGGATCAAACCCAGTTCTCCCAGATTAGACTCCGCACTCCTAACCACTACACCACACTGGCTCTCCTGGTTTTACCCGATAATCTTATGCCTGACCTTGAGGATTTGTACAGGTCTGGTTTATTTAATAATTTAATAGAACATTTTTATCCCACTTTTCCTCTTGGTTCAAGGCAGCTTACAGTAACAGTTTAAACACCCCCAGCTAAAACCAAAAATAAAATAGCAAAGCCCAAATCACTTCCCCCTCCTCTTGCTAAAAGCTGCCTGCTGTTCAGACCTCCTCAAAAGCTCTGGCAAACAGGCAGGCCTCGCAGCACCTCCTGAAGATTTCCAAGCACCCCCCCCCTCATATCTTTAGGGAGCCTGTTCCACAGACCTGGAGCCATGATGGAAAAAACCCAGGCTGTGGTTGATGCCAGAGAGGCCACCCAAAGTAGTAGGATAGCCAAAAGGTGGCTTGCCTGATTACCATAGTTGGCGCATTGGGACAAAAAATTGAAATTATCATGTGGCATTGTGTGTGGAATAGCCAGGAGATCCCCCCGGGGGGGGGGGTATTTGGCTGCCGAAGCTGTAGCTCTTTTTTGGCACCATCAGGTGGAGGGCTATGCTTGTATTTAGGCTGAGAGTGCTGTGACTCACTTAAGGTCCCAAAGCTAGCTTCAAGGGGGGGAGTGGGGAATCGAACCCGGATCTCCAGATTAAATTCCACTGCTCTTAACCAGTACACCAAACTGGCTCGGCACATTGGGACACATGGAAGGAGATGGTCCTTCAAGTATGATGAATCTCTCTCTCTCTTAATCTTGGCCAGTTTACACCCCCGTCAGCATATAGTTTAAATCAGGATTTTGTGTTCCTGTCATGGACAGGACTAGTGACAAGCAATGAGCTGCGTCAGCTATAAAAACCAGCTACCATGCTACAAAACCTTGCTGTCCCTTTGCTGCTGCTGAAGAGAAGGAACCCATCTGAGCATCCCATTTCCCCCCATTTCCTGCTGGTCACCTGTTTGACAGAGAAATGGAAGGAGGACCATGAGTGGTGCTGTTCTTCACGATGTCTGAGTTGAGACGCACCTAGCAGGAGTGGACTGGGAGGCCAAAATGGCCCTGGTGCAAGCCAAACTGAGGTGCTACAATCCAGTACTGCAGGGAATCACTCAGTGGTACACACAGTGGGTATTAGCTTACCTGTTGCTTCCTCCTGAAAACTGGCAGCAGTGCTGGAAAAGACAACTCAGACGGATGAGAGGTCTGAGCCAAGCGGCACCTGAGGCTTTGGCAGAGTTGCTAGAGCTTGGTTATACTTGCTTCCGGCAACCAGCATCTCTCTAAGGTAGCGGCCCACCAGGAAACTTCCCTGTAAGCGAAATGGCCAACCCACCCCTGGGCACCTGGCGATTGGTGTTATTCTTGAACGGGGATTTTTCTTGCTTCCCAAGGAGAAATGGTGGGCAGCCTCTTCCCTCCAAACATTTACAGTAAGTGTCTCTCCTGTATATAAGACTGCCTTTTGGTGTCTTGCCAGTATTAATCTTTACCTTGGCCAAATCTATGGGTTTCTAAAATCCTTATTCATTAAACTCCTTCATCATGTCCCAGTCTGGCATGGGGGCCGAGTGCTGAAAATGCAAGAGAGAAGTATATTCAGTTGCAGAGAAAGTGGGTCAAGGAGTACGATATTGCCTCGAAAGTAGAGAGATAAAGCTAATTCAGCCCATATGTGGATTCAGTAAATTGTAATGATTAACATTGGCGGGGAGAAAGATGGAGGAGAGAGTCAGGCCAGCGCAGTTTTTGTAACATGGCATTAACAAAAGCAGTGATTAAATTAAAATATGTGATTATTCCACATTCTTTTTTAGGATGAGGCCATGTTTATACATACCTGGAACAAATCGGGTTAGTTGTGTGTAATCAATAGGCGTGCGTGGGAGAGCTCAATAGAATTTTCGTTGGTTATGCCAAGATACTTTTTCACTGGTTACGCCAAGAGAATTTTATGCCAAGAGCCACTTTGGTGTAGTGGTTAGGAGCGAAGGGAAAGGGATTGTAAACTGCTCTGAGACTCCTTCAGGTAGTGAAGGGTGGGGTATAAATCCAATCTCCTCCTCCTCCTCCTCCTTCCAGCAAGGCAGCCTTAATACTCATTTTTGGTGACTAGAATGTAGTAGAGGAAATTCTTGAATAAAATAAAAATAGAATAAAATTCACAGGGCGTACTGCAGTCCACAGCTGTAATAATCACGGAGACTATTGACACTTAAAGAAGCATCTGAATCCTCCCAGGAAAAAAAAAAAAACTTGCTCATTTTCATGAAGCTTTTCTTCTTGTTGTTAGCTTCCCTTAGAATTTCTCAGATGTTTAGCTTGAGGAGCAATGTCTGCATTCTCTTCAGATTTCACTGTAGGGTAAATCTAGTAACAACCAGAACATTTTCAGCCCTTCTGAGAAAGTTCAGAAGTCCTATTGGAATCCTCTTAACTCCCCCGTCAAATTCCTTAGATGTTTCATCTAAAGAGAAGCCTCCAATTTTTCTTTGAATTTGGCTTTGGGGAAATCCACAGTTCAGTTGGAATGTGGTTCGGTTTGTTCTACTACAACTTACATCATGCAATCCTCTGCACAGTTACTCCAGTCTAAGCCTACTGATTTCAATGGCATTAGAATGGGTTCAGACTACAGTAAAGCTGTTTAGGATTGTGCTGTTAGTTGTTTTAACTTATCTGATTTGGCTTGTCCACCCTAGTGGCCTCTCGGGGTCCAACCAGATGAGGTGCTGGAACATGCATGATCAGATCTTCCCAGTAATTTTTAAATGCAAACAGCAGCTGCGTAGGGGTAGAGGGGGCTTCATGTATATACTGCTTCATAACCATATGGTTCAAGAGATAGTGCACAAAGGAAAATATCATTATTAAACAAGCAACAACAATTAACTATAATTAAAAATTAAATCAGTAGCAGTAACCAAAAATCTTTTTTTGGGGTGAAGTTTATTTTCATTTTGATATTAAAAACAAACATTCATATTACATATTTCATCAAATTCACTTATGGAGTCCTATTCATTTACAATTGATCCACTTATACAGATTCTTCCATCTTTCCATAAATACCTTTTCATCTTTTCCTTGAAGGCTTAAGCTTAATTTATCCATCTCTGCCATCTCTAATAACCTATCAACTAGGTCATCCAGTTTTGGCAGTAACCAAAAATCTTAAACAGTAGTTGAAAATCTCAAACCTTCAAATTGGCAGCAGATAATTTTATAATCAGTTTTATATTTTAAGGTACCAGTGATAAAAACTGAGAAACTGGACATGTGAGTGAAGTCAGTCATAACCCCCCCTCCCCTGAACTCTAAAAGCCTGGGAGAAAAGGAACATTTTGACTTGGTGTCTAAAATTTGGTAAAGAAGGTTCTAGGCCAGTGATGGCGAACCTTTTAGAGACCGAGTGCCCAAACTGCGACCCAAACCCCACTTATTTATCGCAAAGTGCCAACACGGCAATTTAACCTGAATACTGAGGTTTTACTTTAGAAAAAAACAACTCATACGTTAACTTAAGATGATCCAAACAAAGTAAGGAAAGCAATCCCAAATGTTTTCATTTACTTAAAATTATTTGGCAGAGAATTCAACACTTTAATGATGGTCTGGGCTTGGCTGGGGCGATGGCACGCATGCCTACAGAGTGGGCTCTGAGTGCCACCGCTGGCACCCGTGCCATAGGTTCGCCACCACTGTTCTAGGCATACAGTGGTCGGAAGAGAGTTACACGAATGAAGTGTCACCACCAAAATGCTGTCACCAGTAGGTAGCCAGTCTTTTCAGTAAACTGCCGCACAATTTATAGAGCCTGAGCTTAATGTCTGGCTGATTCGTGGGAGTGGGTGGTCTCCGAGGTAGATCAGTTGGACCCTTACCAGTCATTCTCAGTCAGAGAACTGGAAAGGGAGGGGGGGATGAAATTCTGCAAAATTCAATTGTGCCTAAATCATGGACTTCTTTTTTTGGCTGAAGTCCTCAAACCACTTCCTTTGGAATAGTCTTGAAGCAATGAATTTGCCCTACAGGAGCATGTGTTAAAGACTTGTAATGTGGTTAAGCTCTTTTGCATACCACTTTCAAGATGTGTGAAATTAACATCATAAATGTAAATTTAAAAGGTTTATGGAAAGTCAGCTACTTATCTCCCAATAGCTTAAGTGGAAAGGATGAGTGTAACTAGATCACATAATTAAAACTGCAACAGAGAAATAAAAGATTCTCTATAAAATGGACTGCGGTTTAGGCTTTCTAATATCAAACCTTGGAATAAAACTTGTGGCGGTATTGTTGTGGTTTGTGGTGGCATAGTTCAGTCGCTGTCTGTTCTCAGTAAAATCCAAAACTCCGATGGTCTGTTTTATCAGCTGGCTTATCAAAGAAATTAATGGAAAATGGAGATTGTGCTGAAAACTTATGCCTTCTGATGCATTCTCTGGGATTTTCAGATCCCTGCAGACCTGAGTACGTTTTTTCTTACACAGTCCTAAATTTCTGTATGTCAGATTGGGCCTAAAGATGGATGTGCAGGCTTATGTGTGGCTGAAGAGGTGTTACTATTTATACAGAAGCTCAAGAAAATCTGGGGAAGGAAGGGAGTTACTGTAACAGAGATCTGTACTAGGGATGGGCATGAACCAGCTCACAATCCAAAATTCGGCATGAACTTGGGCTGGTTTGGAGCCCTGAACCGATGTTTGGGGAAGGTGTCTTCCCCGAACATTTACTTGACTTTTGTCCACTTGGACTGTTCGGGGCCATTTAAGACTAACAGCTGATGGGTGAAACCACCCTGCTGTTAGGTTGAAATGGCTGCCTTGCCCTGAAGCAGGGGGAAGCAGAACTGACCAGTGAAATGACTACCAGCTATTTGAACCTAAAAGCGGGTGAGGTCCACCCATCAACTACCAGCTAGTTAAACCTAAAAGCGGGTGAGGTCCGCCCATCAGCTGTTGGGTTTAAATGGCTGGCAGCCATTAAAACTTAACCGCTTCAAAGCAAGGGGAAGCAAAACAGACAAGTCAAATGGCTGGCAGCCATTTAACTCTTCCTGGGCTACCCCCCCCTTTCTCCCACCTGCAGTGAGCTGTGGCTAGCAGAAAGGGGGAACCAAACATACTGGACCGGCCTGGTTCGGGTCAGGGCCTTTTGGCTCGATTTGGGGTCTGGTTTCTTGCATTCATTTTATTTTATTTATAGCCTTCTTTTCAACTGTATAGCATTGGCACTAGCAAGTCTAAGAGGAGCGGGAAAGGGGTCACTGCAGTGTCGCGGAGCCCCCTGGGATGATTCTGAGGGGTGTCTTGTCTTGGGAAGGCAGCATAAGTCAACATTGTTGTGCTCTGCTTCCTCAGCCAACTGTAGACACTTTTTGTCTTGGGAAATGAGAGATCAGCCCGATGTCTGCAGTCAAGGATGGGCCCTTTGCCAGGCTCTGGGCCTTGGCAGATACCCAACCATGCCAATCCCTCCTGCCTGCCCTAAGGAAAACAGATTTCCCCACTGCCTTCTGCTTCCTTCTCAAGGAGAAGATGGGATGGATGCCAGGAAAGAGGACTTGTGCCTGGCATCCATCCCATCTTGTGCTCTTTATTTGTGGGATCTGCGTGTGGGTGTGCTGCCGGGACCTGTCTAAACGAGGGCCAGCAAAACAGGACGCAAGGATCTTGCTTTCCACACATGCCACTTCTCTGGTCTCTGGTCTGCGTGCAGCAGAGTACCTGGTCCTGTGGCACTTTGGCATGAATGAATCAAAAGAAGCAAAGAGCAAACCGGCGGGCTTGTTTGCGCTGAGCTCTTGAAAGGAGGAAGCAGTAGTGTTTCCTTTGCAGCTTTAGTATTCTTATATGATGGTTTATATAGATCTATTTTTCCTGGCTTATTTTGTTGTATAGCAGCTGGGGGTGGGGGGAGTTGGGTTGCCAGCTCTGAATTGGGAAATACCTGGAGATTTTGGGAATGGACCCTGGGAAGGGTGGGGGTTCGAGGAGTGGAGGGACCTCAACAGGGTATAATGCCATAAAGTCCACCCTCCAAAGGGGCCATTTTCTCCAGGAGATCTGATCTTGATTGTCTGGGGATCAGTTGTAATAGCGGGACATCCCCAGGTGCCTTGGAGGGTCATTTGGTTTGTCACCATAGTACAGAGGGAGGAGCGGGGAGGTTTAAGCCTTTCCTCCAGTTTGGATTTCCACCCTCTATCCCCCACAAGCTATTATTTGTCTTGTGAAAGGAAACATATAAACAATCATACAGGGCTTGTATGTTTGTCTTGAGGAGCAACTGATACCTTCTTCAGCTGAGGCTTGGAAGAATGGCACAGGGGAAGGGGGTTAGTTTGGTGTAGTGGTTTGGAGTGCAGACTCTAATCTGGGAGAACCGGGTTTGATTCCCCACTCTTCCACTTGTGGCCAGCTGGGTGACTTTGGGCAAGCCACTGTTCTCTCAAGAGCCGTCCTCAGTCAGAGCTCTCTCAGCCCCACCTACCTCACAGGGTTGTGGGGAGAGGAAGGGAGGGAGATTGTAAGCCGCTCTGAGACCCTGAGTGAAAGGCAGGGTATAAATCCAATCTCTTCTTCTTCTAAATTGCTGTTTACCTGTACTTGGCCCCTCTCCAAACAAGGACCCCTGACGGCTTCTGTTTACTTTTAAAAATCCCACAAGATGGGAGATCTCTGAACAACTTGTCCAGTCAAGCCAGTGTTGGAAGTAATTTCAGTTTCTTACTAGTACTGTCTCTTTTATGGGGCTCAAAGTAGAAGATGGTGAGGTACCACTTTCCTCTTCCTCATTGGTACTACTGGCTTCCTTTCACCTCCGAGTTAAGCCCTCAGCTTGAAAGAAAACCGGGACAGTTCATACCACTCAATTGTGACAACAGTAGTTTTAGTCAGCACTGGTAAAATTCACAGGTATCGTATTCTCTCCTTGTTATGCTCTCAATTTTCCCAGGAGCCAGTTCGTTTTTATTGTTGTGGAATAGCACCATAGTTTCTGTGGTAAGGGTGGTCTGTGTGCTGGAACTCTATCTGGACCTTCTGGTTCTATGCAACTTCCTGGCCTTTTCCCTCAGGACTGCATGGCAACTGCTCCTGCAGCCACCTTTTAAAATGAATTGGTGCTTTTACCAGCCTATTTGTTCTGTTTCTCAGTGTGTGACTTCTGAGGGGGGAAACTGAATCTGAATGGGGAATTTCAAGTATTGAGGCAGGAGACGATGAACCATTAACAAAAGCCTTATTTCAACATTGCTTCAGGTCTCGAACAACGCTGCTTGCAGTTTCTCCATATTTATATCGTCGCACAGTGAAACATACAACATTGTAACTATGCACTATAGGCCTGATTGGCCCTAAACGAGGCTATGTGATTGGTTGCTTCTAGTGTGGCTTTTGGACCAATAAGCAATCTTTATTCTTAAGCCAATAGCAATGCAAGGATTAGGATACCATATTCAAACACAATAGCTCAGAACATAACAGGGAACGCTTTAGTTTTCTAACTGAAGCTCCCTGAAACTTGGGTATAGCTTTATAGCAAAAACTGGTCCCTTGGAAATGGAAGCAAGGTTAATGAGGGATTTCAGTGGCGCAATATCCACTGATGTGTGAGTCCTCCATTTAAACAGAATGTTTTTTAAAAAAAGGAACAACAGAGAAACACAAAAAAGAATGTAGAGTGGAACTGACCTTAGATTTGAATCCTAGACAGATTACTGCTGGAATCTGCTCAAAAACTCTAGTTAAGATACAACAGCTGATTAGCATATCATTTAATTAAGAGGTCTGGTAGTTTTCTTTTAGATTTTAGACACCTAAATTTCAGTCTAAAGGCGCACCGACCTTATCCTCTTGTAATTCCAGTAAAGCAGCTAAGCATATTTCTATGAACATAAGCCAGCAATGTTGTGTCTGACCATTATTTTTTATCCTTTTAGGCGAGGCACTGTGCCCTTGAATCCTCTTTGGTGTGAGGATATCAGTTTTGGGAACACTATTCCTTTCCTTTTTCCAGATACTTGCACCCTGAGGGACTTCCTTCAGACTACACCATTACCTTTCTCTTCCGTATACTGCCTGAAACACCCCAGGAACCATTTGCTCTCTGGGAGATTTTAAATGAAGAATACGAGCCATTGGTCGGAGTGATTTTAGACAGTATGTATTTTGTACATTTATAACATGCTTTATTGCCGATTGATTTTAATTTTCACTCTTAAGAAGGCTAAGAAAAACATTATTGCAGTATTTTCAAAGAAGGCTAGAATTTTTGTCCCGAGCATTACTTACATGCCACTCGCCTATTTATTTCAGTTGTGTTTCTATAAATCAAACACTCTACTCACAGGCTGCTGAGGTGATGTACAGACATTAAAACACACAGAATACAACTCTCTCTGCAACATGTTCTCTCTCTATATATATATCCCTGACCTGGATAGCCCAATCCTGTCAGATCTCAGAAGCTAAGCAGGGTCGGCCCTGGCAAATATTTGGATGGGAGACCTCCAAGGAATACCAGGTTCGTGATACAGAGGTAGGCAATAGCAAACTACCTCTGAAACATCTGCCTTAAAAACAATCTCTAGCTCACCACCTAGTGGTGCATAACGCTAAAGGAGCTAGAACTTCTGGCTGCCAGACAATCCAAGGATCTCCTGCCTATTTTACACACAATGCCAGATGATGATGATGATGATGATGATGATGATGATACTCTCTCTCACACTGTACAGATGGTGGAAAAACCCTCACTTTCTTCAATTATGACTACAAAGGTGAATTCCAGACTGTTACATTTGAAGGACCTGATATAAAGAAAATATATTATGGAAGTTTCCACAAGGTACAGCAAAAACAGCTTAATAGAAATGGGCATTTTTGAATTTCCGAAACATCATTTTAAAAATTTGGTTGTTATTACTATGTTTGTTTAATTTCCACTGGTTTCATGGGAAGCCACTGATGATTGCCACTGATGGAAAGGGAGAGCCTGCTCCCACTTAGGAGGGTCTCAGGAGGATGTGTCAATGGAGGCACTGGGGCTGCAAGTACCAGATGCTGATTGGCTAGTAGTGCATATCATGGACGTATGGGATGACATCACTGGTCCATGGTTGGCACTGCCAGCTCTTCAGCAGCTATACACCTGCAGTGTAGTGGCAGAACCTGTGGTGCCACCTCCTGACACTGTCCCACAGTGGTGCCAGATCCTGATTGGGGTCGGGAGGATTTGTTACAAGAGAGACCAGGATGCCCAGTTGCCTAGGATGCGGTTGTGTTGTGTTCCTGTAAAGGATCAGAGCTCCTGTCCTGTAAAGGAAAGGGCACCTTGGTCCCTCAGACCTCCCCTCTCTCTCTGGCATGTAGCCCTCTTAGGAAGCTGGAGGCAAAAAGGTGCCTCTTGCCCTCTCTTGTTTCTGGTAGCCTGCCACCACCTCGGGATAGTTAGATTCCTCCCTGTTGCAGGGTGCCGCTCAGAGGATTGACACCCAAGTGTGCTCTTGTTCACTTGTTAGCCCTCAGTATCTACTGACTTGCATCTTCACATGCTGCTTTTTATAACTTACCTTTCCAAATTTCAGCTCACCCTCTTTAAATACTGAAACCTGGGGGAAATGCTAGCAAGTCTGTTACTAACAAAAGCAGATTTTTTTTTAAATTCAGAAAACTCCTATGTACTAATATGTCCTTTTTTTAAAAAAAATGCATCTTTGTTCTCCCCTAGGTGCATGTTGTTATCAGCAAAACGGCAGCTAAAATAGTGATTGACTGCAAACAAGTGGGTGAGAAAACGATCAATGCAGCTGGCAATATCACCTCTGGGGGCATCGAAGTATTGGGAAGAATGGTCCGATCCAGAGGACCGAGGGACAATTCTGCGCCGGTATGTAAAGCAACTTGTGGTTCGTGTCTTGGTTTTAAAAGAAATTAGGTTTCCAAAAGAATGGAAGATTTTTGAAAACCAATGTGTAACAGTTAAGATTGTTTGGTTAATTAAAGAAATTGTATGATTAACCATGTTCACCTAAAAAAAATTGGGACCATTCAAGTATTGCTGAAAAAAGGAAACACTTCTGGTGGTCTATTGTACTGATTTTGTAGAGCACACATCCAGAGGTTCCTGTTTCTCATTCCAATGCCTTCTGCCACGTGGAGACATAAAAAGAACAAAACAATGAACAGCAACAGCAACAAAAGCCAGCAGATTATGCAAGAGTTTGTGTTCTGGAACTTGTGATTCCAAAGTTATTAAACCATCTTCTCAGTTGCTGTTGCCACCAGACTTTCCTGTTCATATCAACACTGTCTTCCAGAAATAACAGAAATAGACTTTCACAGAAGTGACTTTGCATTTTGGGGAAGATCTAGTCACTATAGAGGAAAGATAAGGACAGAAGAGGAAATGTGTGTTAATTTCCTTTGAATTTCCTTGGCCAAGAGCATTTTCTTGAATCTAAGGCTCAGTTTGAGAAGTGTAAGACCCAAATTTGCCCTTACTAAATTTGCTCTGACGGATAGCCCAGGCTAGTCATATCTCATCATAACTCAGAAGCTTGAGCAGGGCTGGCCCTGGTTATTATTTGGATGGGAAACCACTAAAGAATACCATGGTCACTATGCAGAGGCAGGCAGTGGCAAATCACCTCTTAACATCTCTTACCTTGAAAACCCTACAATTTGACAGCAAAAGAAAAGACCCAAACTGAAACACAGTGCTTTTGGTTATATATTTATTTATTGGGCTGTCAAGATCATTTATCCCCTGAAATGTGTTCCTCTGGATGGAAAAAGAAATGCCCTTAGGCCTCAAGCTTTAACACGGCAATAAATAAATAAATCATGTCTTAGAAGACAATTCAACAGAGCAACCTTTGTGACTACATTCCAGCTGGAAAAAACAAAGGCGAATTTATGAAACTTGAAGGGTGCTTTGTAGGAAGAAGAGGAAAGAAACTATGCCTTTTGTTGAGAAAGCCTGAACGGTATGAATGATAAAAGTCATTTAGCAAACTGCACACCCACAGAAAAATGTTGGTTGTCTTCAAGTGAATGGACTGGCCGTTACGTAAGACCATAGGCATGCATAGCTCCATTTCTCACTGAAGTTTTCTCAACAATGCCAGTGACAGTTTTATCATGGGTGTTTAATAAAGTGTAAGCTCTTATTTAGCTGTTAGGTATTTTGCAGGACTCAAAGTTTGGTGGCTATGGCCTGGGCAATAAAACTCCCAGGTGTGCTCATGGCTTCCCTGAAAACAATGGAGCCGTACCTGAGGTTGTCAAATATTCAAGGGCTTTTCATTGGGCTCATCCATGGGTAACCTGAAACTCAGGAGGGGAGGAGAAGCATAAATTCTCAGCTGTGTTTGACATCCTGTCCATAAAATGGAAAGTTCTTTGTGTATGGAGTATTGCAATAGGATTAGCTGTCAATGACGATAAATAATTTTTCACTGGCTCAATGCTCTGTAATGCTGGAATATTTTATTGTGATGGGTAGGCATTGTGATGAGCATTCTCTGTCTGGCACAGGCAGATTTTCATCAAAATGTTTCAGTGATGCTTCAGAGATGCCACAGTTAAAGAATATCACGCCAGTCCATTGGTCTACTGCTCATGTAGGCACTTCAATGCCCATATAAACCTCCACTGCCCACAAAGTCCTGCAGCTGTCACAATTTTCTCTGAAAACCATTGTTAAAATTGCTGGTGCTGCTATCTGTTACTGCAGAGACATGGCCAAAGTGTGCGTGAGAACAGGCAGCTTTATTTAGAAGTCGTACCTCAGTGTGATAATATCATGAACTGGAAGAATGTTCCATTGACTTAAATGTATCCCATGTGTGCATGCTTGGGGGCGGGAACTGTAAAAACGTACGGCGTCTTTTGCATTGGTTGATATATCTTCTTGCATTCACAGGCATTTATCTGTGTATGCAAAACAACATGTCCCCATTTTCTTCCATTGCATAAATTAGAACCAATTAATCAAAGAATCCTATGTGGTATTATATTTTCCCACAAACCAGTTAGCAACATTTTAAAAAAAATATTTTAATACATTTGAGTTGAGAGAGGCTGAATCAGCCATTCTTCTGATTTTAAAATGTGACCTGGGCTTCTCCTCCTAATTCCAGCTGAGTTTACTAAACAATGATCCTTTTGTTGTTGGGAGGCATTGACATTCATAGCCTTTAGCTTAATAGTCTGTACCCTTCTCAGACCCAGGGCCCACCTTTAACCCCGATCTACAAGACCTACTTTTAATGTTTGAATGTCTGTGTCTTCTTTTTCCTTCCCTCTCAGGGCATATCTGCAGAAGCATTGGCTAACAGTCATTCCGTTTCCCTAAGGATTCTGAAAATTGTATTGGTGGGCTGGGGTAACAGAGAATTCTTAGCATTTGCACCATTTCTCAGAATACTTGGGGGAGCCAGTTATTAACTTTCTTTTGCCATTATTGTTACTCAGTTAGACAGCCTTGTGAGATCCTTGAGATTTTGCAGCTTGCCTTGATTTTTCTTACAAGTGATAACCATAGGATTGCCAGACCCCCGGTAGGGGTGGGGTCTCCCACTGCCAGTCCCTGCCCCTCAGCTGCTGATCAGCTGGCCAGTGCGGGGGACTTACCATTAGAAAGAGGAAGGCCTGGGCCACAGGAAGTGATGTCATTATGCCAGTGACTTCCAGGCAACGCTGGCATTTGGGCAAAAACTCTATGGTAGAAGCCAGTTTTACCACAGAGGTTTTGCCCAAATTCCCGAGCGTCATCTAGAAGTTGCTGGTATGATGACATCACTTCCTGTGTGATGCTGGCACTGTAGCCTGGGCCTTTCCCTTTCTCCTGGTAAGTCCCGCCCAGATCCCCCATCGGCTGTCAGGAGGGACCTGGATAACCCTAGATAACCAATATGCTAGCAGGGAAAGCAAATCTTTGAATTCCTCCTATGACGGTAGTGGTAATTCAGCATTTCTGTTCTGCAGGCTGGATCCAAAGAGTTGTTGAGGTACAAGCCCTGACCAAGTGAAATATTTTCCCTTTTTTGTTTTGTTTAAATAGTTGGCTTCTGGGCTGTATCTTGCTAACTTCCAGGCAAGCTCTGGCAATGTCTTCCTGGTATTACAGTCAGGGCTATTTTTGGGCAGGAACGCACAGGGACGGAGTTCCGGCTGGCTCCCAATTTGGCCACGCCCAGCAGGAACTCATTAGCATAATAGGCCACACCCAACAGCAGAAATTCATTAGGATTGGTTACATTAGGGATGTGTGGCCTAACATGCATAGGAGTTCCTGCTACAAAAAAAGCCCTGGGTTTTGACAACAAACAAGGTAAACAGAACAAGAAGCAAAAGGTGGGTGTGGCTGAATGAGCACACTTCTGGTATCATGGGGGTGTGGCCTAATATGCTAATAAGCTGTGCTGTCAGGGGTGTGGCCTAATAGGCTAATTAGTTTTTGCGGTTGGGTGTGACCTATTATGCTAATGAGTTCCTGCTGGGCTTTTTCTACAAAAAACCCCCTGATTACAGTTATCTCCAGATGACAGAGATCGGTACCCCTGGGTCCATATCACAAAACTGCTTTTAGAAGAAGAGAAGAAGAAGAGAAGAGATTGAATTTATACCCCGCCGTTCACTACCCGAAGGTGTCTCAGAGCGGCTTACAAACTCCTTTCCCTTCCCCTCCCCACAACAGACACCCTGTGAGGTAGGTGGGGCTGAGAGAGCTCTGACAGAAACTGCTCTTTTTCAAGAACAGCTCTTATCAGAACTACGGCTTGCCCAAGGTTATCCAGCAGGTGCAAGTGGAGGAGTG